ACTAGAGTCAACCACCTTACCAGTGCCATACTCCATGTTCATCTGGTTCAATTAATCTTCCTGGTTTTTCATTAGGATGTAAAGCACCAGTAGAATCATGAACAGGTTGCCATGACTACATGAGGGGAAAAAAAAAAGAAAAAAAAATAGAGCTGCGAGTATTTCCCAATAAGGGCTATGATCTTTCATTGCACATCCATTTTATGCAAATAAACACAGACATGGTATAAGATCCAAATTAATTAAACCCCCATTCTGACAACTAGGTTACTGTGAAATAATTTATTTTAGCTGGAATTAATTTCGCTGAAAAGAGTTTTTCGGTGTTATATGGAATTTATTTTCACTGATTTTTGACAAGTTGAATGTTAAATATAGGAAAAAAGATATATTCGCTGGATTTTATTTTCACTGAATCATTCTTTCAGCGAAAATTAATTCCAAGCGAAAATAAAATATTTTACAGTATGTATAATGAACCTAAAACAAAAACAATAAAACATAATGTCTCTAATCAGCGTACACCTCTGATGAGACATCCAGTAAACCTGCGTATGTCACTGTTACAAAATCAAAAACAAATTACAACTATGAATAACATAGTACTGATTGTATGCCAAAATAATAACCATTTCTATTGGTTAACATTTCCTTAAAAACTAGATTTGAGGACAGAAATTGTGAATAAACACTGTAACAGTGATGGTGAATAAATTACCCTTTTTAATCTGTTTATAACAAGCTTGTCGTATTTGCTTATACTAGTACACTGTTTTAACACTTTAGAGGGATTGTGGTTAGCACCTTGACTTTGAAGTCCATAATTCGGCCTACGGCACTTCACAAAGACATTTAAGTGTGCAATATATTATGGATGACCATGATGGACTTGCATAGTGATGTATGCCATGTGTTTTTGTGTTCAAATTTTGTATTAACAAACAATGCATTTTACCGCCTTGTATAAGAACTCATAATAAGTTCATTTTTTCACGATGCTGCGTAACAGCTATAACATTTTTTTTTTAAATTTTCTTTTTTAAAAATTTGATATTTACCTCCCAATCAGCAGGCAGTTCCTTTTCAGGTACTGCAAGTTCATTCACAATGTAATCAAAACCCAGCATTGACCTTGACAACTCCAGAGATGTCCGGATATACCTCCGTAATCCGATTGGGCCATATAGTTCTAGTGGTGTGTCTCTTTCTGCTCCTGATTGGCCAATAGTGCAAAGAAAACCGGGCAGACCAAATAACTGCAACAACAAACAGGAAATGCACATTATAAGTAATGTGATTAAGTAAACAAAAGCTAACATAGTGACAGGCGTATTTATTTTTATATTTACATTGTGGCATTGAAATTTCACTGCAAAGTTGGTGAAACAATAAACTTCATTATGATATGACAAATCAAACTAAATGCAGTTGTGGGTTGGAATTGTCTTTATCATTTATGCACGCTGCATATAATTAAATCAGTTGAATTTTTTCAAGATATTGTAATTATGACAAATGCATTTTAACATTCGCAAGCAAGTAAAATTTAGACAATACTGTCATAGAAATGAATAAGTGATTCATGTTATAAAAACGAAAACCATAAATAATGCCCAGAATTCAAGCAATAACAAATTTTCATCCAGAATCATCACTTAAGGGCAATAGTTATCGCATTGCTTCCTGTTCGATATGAGACTCATAGCACCTTACAAGTGTGTAAAATACATTGTTAGCTTATGTGAAATTCGAACACGTACTGCGCGACGACCACAGCCTTTTAGGCATGACAAAATCCAAGTGTAAGTAGTCTCATTGCAGACAGAGTGAAGCCTGAAGTACAGTACGACAAAGTACAACAAATTGTATTCAAGCATGTAGTGTGTGATTTATAGACAAACAATAATCTGATAATTTGTCACAACATGCTCATAATAAATAACAACAGGAACAGCTAGAAGCCTAGAATTTTTATGTATGTTTTCTGAGACCCCTACAATAATGCATAGGCATTAAGCTGTTACACTGTTTGATGATGGAACACATTAGCATGGATGCGCTAAGCAAAGGACAGTAATCGTTGCACTGCAGTCTGTGCACCAATGAATGAAACATGCTTAAATAAATTGCTTATTGCATTCCCGATGATCATCACTAGACGATCATCATATTTTGAGCTGACCAGTGTTCTATGCATTAGGAGATATTAGGAGACTCAAGCAGCATTATTCTATGCTAGAAAAGTTGACACTTAAAAGTTGAGCTTAAAAAAACAACAACCTTTAAGCGAAATCTACTTCACTTACATGGTCACCATGGAGATGTGTTATGAATATTTTAGTAATTCTGGTTGGTCGAATGTTACTTTTCTGTATCTGGATTTGACTTCCTTCTCCACAATCAAACATCCAACAGTCACCTTCTGAAAGTCAAGAATCAAGTTGTTAAACAATATACAGATTTATGCAGTCGTGACAATAACTTGTCTTCAGAAGATTTGTTTTCATGCTTTGCTATATATAGAAATGGTGCAATGTTATTTGTCGATAAATACAATGTGGAGTCTGATTTAGTAATTTTTAATCATGAGGAATCTTTGAGGTCAATGCTCTGGAGTCTGTCAACTGACTGAACCAGAACAGATAAACAAAATATGTCGATGATTTTCTAAACAAGAATATAATTTTTTCTTTCACTAGTGATTTCAAAGATGCAATCTAGATGAATTAAAGAACCTATTTTTAAATAACGTTGTTAAATACTGCATGGTGATGAGTAAATTGCATTATCATTTATCATAAACTAAACTTGTGACTTCTGCAGCACATGTGTCGTCATTGATAATGTACATCCATGTTTTTTATTGTTTCCATTGAATAAATACTTAGATATGTGTCACATGAACAATATTTCATCAAAATAACACAACAGTTTTAAAAACTATATGTTCTCATCCAACCTAGATCTTCGTCTTCAAGCCATTATCATGGACGGCCTTCAAGTACGTTTAGTCATACCATCTAAATGCACAGTGCTGAACCTCTGAATCTTACATGCATTCAAAGAAGTAACAGAGAAAATAGCTTGAAACAGTAAACACCATCGCCACTGAACAATAATTACCTCTGCCAAGAACATTATGTAGTGTAGTGTTAGTTTGCCTGTTAGCAACATTACAGAAAAGGTTATGCTTGGATTACTCTGAAATTTTTATCAGATGTGTTTCTTTACCGAAAGAAGAATTTATTAAATTGTGGTGATCCAGATAATCATTCAGATCCAGGAATGTGTTGATGGTTTTTTATTAATGTGAATCGTAAATTCAAACTATTGTAAGAATACACGTTGTGCTTGGTTCTAGTTACAGTTTTTTGTGATGTTAAACTAAAATCAAGGATTTATAAGGTTAGGGTATACATGTGATGAAGATTGCACATGAATTGAAGAAGTCAAACACATCGCGATATCATCAAAAAATTGCAAGAAAAACCATATTCCAATAAATAATGAAGCAAATTAGTGAGTCTGTGATGCTATTGGTTAGAGCTACGATTGGCACGCATGATCAAACTGGATCAATGTCAAACGTTCATAAATCGCAAGAGTTTGCTTATCACGAAATAGCATAACTCATAGTTGCTGTTGACATAGGAAGTAAAGTAAGCAAATAACACTGAATAAACGGCAAGGTAAATACTACGTCAAATTATAGAAAACACATACTGCGTGCGTGACTCGAACCGGCGCTCGCCTACGGCACCTAATTGCTTAGCTTCACGCCACTACACGTATTCCCATCGGCAACCGAGCATCCCCAAAAAAGGATGCTTAATAACCGAGCTTATTACGTGCAGAGAACATGAAACCCGTCCACGCGATCCGCGCCACACAGCGTGGCCAGAATGCGGCAAAGGCCTTCAGATCTGGCTGTGGTATGATGGTGAAAGTATTGGTACAGCATTATAACAGTGAATAAGTACTGAGAAATAATTTTAAACTCATAGTTGCTGTTGACATAGGAAGTAAAGTAAGCAAATAATATCTAATAAATGGCAAGGTAAATACTACATCAAATTATAGTAAACATGTACTGCATGCGTGACTCGAACGGGCGCTTGCGTACGGCACCTAATCGCCTAGCTTCACGCCACTACAGGTCTTCCACTCGGCCACTGGGCATCCCCAAAAAAGGATGCTTAATAACCGAGCTTATTTGAAGCTAGGCGATTAGGTGCCGTATGGTGTTATTTGCTTAATGAAACTGCATACATCCATACATGGGTATAAATGTTGCATACCCTTATGTATGAAAATGAGCAATGTTTATTGCAGTTAATCTGATGAATAATAATTACGATGAATAATAACCACAGAAATGTAGAATGTGCACAGGATGCACAGTTCTGATGACAGTGCTACTTTAAGGAACTTGATACAGTTTTACTGTATAAGGGCGGGTATAAATGCCAATATATATTCATATCTCAAAACGGCTTAATTTTTGTTGGACTTATAGTTGCACAAAATGATACGCTTGTGTTTAGATGTGGGTATATGAATAGAAAAAATGTGGTTTAGAAGTTAGTATGGTTGACGAGAGGTGGGCTGCACACCCTTACCCACTTAATGTGGAAGTACCCCCCCCCCATCTGGTCACACACTTACAATTATCACTTAAATCTTCAAATACTCCCCCTCCCCCGCAATATATAAAATTGTTTAGATCATTAACTCAAAATGCTGACTATAAGTTTAGAACTATATAATGATCAGTAGTAGTGTGGCGCGAAGATATTCACCTCTTTGATCAACGGATTTTAGTGGTTTGAAACGGGTCTTACCATTGCGAAGCACTGTACATGACACACCTCTATTTGGACATGGATAACACGAAGCTGTTCCCAGAAATGTTAGGTCCATGTTGTCACCGACTGTTCCGATTACAAAACATCTGAAATTCAACAAATGTCAATACACATTCAAAGCCACGTTCAACTTTGACCTGAGACCCCTTAGCTTAAACGGAAAAAACTTCCCGATAGCAGTTACATTATTAGAATTAACGCAACCACAGTCAGCTGGCGTACACGTGATAATAAAATAAATGCGATATTTACTCTATGGGGGCCGCCATCTTGATTGCCGCATAAAACTAAATATAGTAAATATCGCATTTATTTTATTATATCAGGTGTGCGCCAGCTGACTGTGAACGCAACGCAGTTCAGCAAGAATGTGGAACCATAGTTGTCTGTCACCCTTGCTGCAGTTTAGCAGCTCTTATTGGCCGCTTAAGCTATTTTGATATTACGTTCTGGTCGCCCCGCAACGTATACCACGACCAAGAGAGCTGCATAAACTGCAGCAATCTGTCACCCTTGGTACATAACGTCCGATGACATCTTCTGACATAACATTACATGTAGAGAAACCTGGTTGAACAATGATAATAAAAATGCTCTACAAATTCAAGGTTATTATTCACATTCAGTCATTAGACAAAAACAAATAAGAGGAGGCATTTCAATACTATTTAAAAATATTATAAGAAAGGTATACATTTCTACCTAAATGATAGCGAAGACATGTTATGGTGTAGACTCGATAAAGAGTTTTTTTTTTTCAAATTGTCAACTAATATTTATATTTGTTCTATTTACAACCCTACAATCAACTCAATACAAACTAGATAGGATTTCTTTGAGAACCTAGAGAGGAAAATTACAAAAATACTCCGAGAATGGCAAAATACTGCTTCAAGGGGATTTCAATAGCAGAACAGGTGTATTATCTGACTTTATAGAAAGTGACTTTACTGATTTCATTACAGTACCTGACACCTATATTACAGACGATGTGATCATAAATACATATGGTAAGATGTTGATAAATCTGTGTAAAAAATGTGACACTAAAGCGTAGTGGTCGTCGCGCAGCGCGTGTTCTTATTTCATGTAAATAAACAATGAATTTTACACGCGTTGTATCATAGACCCTGGAGGGTCTATGGTTGTATACGTCGCTAGGAGTCCCATATCGCGGCACGACAACTGCCGCCCTTTAAGATACTAAATGGTAGAATACCTGGTGACTCAACAGGAAACTTCACATGTTATCATTATTACGATGCAGGCACAGTAGAGTATATTTTGGTACCTTTCTTGCTAGACAAATTTGATTCAGAATTCAGATTCAGAATTCATAATTTTACATGCTACTCAGATCATTGCCAATTATCATACCTTTTAAGACTTCCAAAAACAATTTTAGTCAAATGTGCAAATAATTACTTACTACATAACATTCCAATTGCAAATATTTGGAAATGGGATAAGTTGCCTGCATTCAACTACCAGGACAGGTTAGCGAGTAAAGGAATACAGAATAAAACTTACCCTTTTCGTCAGGAAGAATTTGAATTCAATGGTGGGGCAGGGCAGTCAAAAAACTCAATTGTATTATAGAAATAGCTGCATGACCAATACTAAACAAAAAGAAAGTTAAAAAGAATTCAAGGAGTAAAAATAAACTCAGCAAATTTCTCTTTGGCAATAAAATAAGACAGATTTATTATTGTAAGAAAAAGAATTTTAAACAGTTAGTTATATTAAAAAACAACAATTACAAAAAAAAAATATTAGATAAATTAATAACATTTAAGAATAATAACCCAAACAAATCTTGGAAGATTCTAAATTAAGTAAGAGATTCTAAAAATTGATAAGTGTAACTTTATATTCCTAGACTCTTGGGTAAATTATTACAAGATATTAAATGACGATAACTTAACAGTGGGTGAAGACAGAATTAACACTGATATTATGAATTTAGAAAAAATAACTAATTACTAAAATAGATAAACTAAACCATTAACAAAACTTTTCAATTTAATTTTAAACACCGGTTTCTTCCCAACAATATAGAATAGTAGTCCAATCCATCTACATAAACATGAGGATGTAAATGAATCTCTATTACCATAGCATTGGTAAAACTTTATGTTCAATTATTATTACTAGACTAACCACATACTTTAAAAAAAAATAATCAGGCTGGTTTTCGTAAAAATTGTAGAACAGCAGATCATATTTTTGTCCTTATTCATAAATAGTTAAAAACGAAACAAGGTTCATGTTTGTTTTGTTCATTTTAGAAAAGCGTTTGATAGCTTATGACGAATCGGATCTGTAAATCAATCAAACTCATGTATATCAACACCAAGCGGCAATTAAAATTGAAATATTTAATATTAATAAAGGTGTGAAACAGGGATGTATATTAAGCCCAACT